GAACGGTGTTGGTACCCAGAGAGATGGGGGTGACCCTGAATGGTGTTGGTACCCAGAGAGATGGGGGTGACCCTGAACGGTGTTGGTACCCAGAGCCATTTGGATGTGTGTCTGCACTTCATGTGTGTGGCCCTGAATAAAAATCACTATGTCAAGAGGAAAAAATAAACTCTCATGTTTTTAGAAACAAAAAGGACTTGTACCATAGGAGTTAGTGAATTTTCTATGCTGAATTTTAAAATAGTACTTTTAATAGTTATCTTCAAAATAGATGATGTTGGGTGGTGCCTGTGGCTCAAAGGAGTAGGGCACCAACCCCATGTGCCGGAGGTGGCGGGTTCAAATCCAGCCCTGGCCAAAACCTGAAAAAAAACCCCAAAAATACATGATGTTGCCCTCCAGGTGATGAGCAAACCAATAGCAGCAACAATGTTGTTACCAATATCTTAAAACATCAGTGCTCTGGCAACAGGAGTCTCACTGCACAACCTCTACTACGTCACACACAGTGTGGAAAACCCCAGCCAAGCGTCCTGATGTTCCCCTGAAATCAGCTACTCAGCCACTGATCAGCGTTCCACAGAATACTTAGTATTTTGAGGGCATGGCCATATTATCAGCTGAGATTTTTCTAAGTAATGCTGATCAGGTAGTGAGAAAAATCAATAATTTTAGTCTTAAGAATAAATCTTACTGTAGGAAAACTGCTGAAATCACTTGCACTGATATACAGGCACAGAAATGGAAAGAAAATGCTAATGGGTTTTCTTTTTTTTTAATTTTAGATTACCGTGAGGGTACTAACAATTAGGTTACAATGTTCACATCTGTCAGGTGGACTCTCTGTAATAATTGTGTCCTGCACCCAGGAGGTGTGCCACGTCCCCCTTCACTTTGCCTGTTAAGTGGGAGCTCCCTGATCCCTAGTGGGTTTTCCTGACAGGTTGTAAGTGTGAGCTCCCCGATCCCTAGTGGGTTTTCCTGACAGGGTATAAGTGCAGCTCCCTGATCCCTAGTGGGTTCTCCTGACAGGTTGTAAGTGGGAGCTCCCCGATCCCTAGTGGGTTTTCCTGACAGGGTGTAAGTGGCAGCTCCCCGATCCCTAGTGGGTTTTCCTGACAGGTGTAAGTGGGAGCTCCCCGATCCTAATGGGTTTGACTCCTGCCCCTGGGAGCAGCAACAGGCCAGCCTCCTTCCAGGGCTTCCCCACGATGTGGTTCATAGACTAAGGAGCGGTTTTGGAGGGAGGTGTGTGCTACAGGCATCTGCAGAGCTTCTCCAACCCTTCACACTTTGGCTGAGAAGCTACCAGAGAAGGGACAGTCACCAAGAATCATTTTCCATTCCCAGTTTTGAAAAGGGGCCTGTTTTCAGATACAGACCTCCCTGCTGCAGCAGGAACCCCAGCCACTGTATGGCACCTTCTCGTTCTCCTGGGAAAGGAAAACCAGGCTCATTTCCTTCATGTACGTTGTGGCCCCCTGAGGGGGAAGGTGCAGAGTGGTGTCAAACCTCGTGTTTCTCAGCCACACACGCCTTTCAGAAAGCGTCCCTGGTGTGACGTTTCAGAGGAAGTAAGGACACGTATGGGAGTGCTGCCTTTTAGATTTTCTACTCATGGAATTAAATAGAAATGCTATAAAAATCAGTCCTGAATGGCCTGGGCACAGAGCAGTAAAATTAAATGTGGACCAAAACTTGAATTTCTCTTTGAGGATGTCTGTGTTTTAACTAGCATAATCAATGCTTTCATGAAATTCCTCTAAAGAAGATAAAATACATGTGTTGTTAGAGATGAAGAAAAGAGAAAATAAATGTAGTAATTTGTCGATTATCCCATGGATAGTGCAGTGGGAGTCCCGAGCAGAGGTCGAGATCACGTGCCCTGTGCCTGAGAATGAACTTACCATAACCCATTAAAAGGAATGGAAGAGCCGTGGGATTTTTCCATAATATTTGGAGAATGTTTGGTTCAAGATAAAAGTCTTAAGTAGCAATAGTGGGCACTTGTGACGCGTTTAAGTTTCTCATTTGCCAGAATGAAGATGTAATGAGAGAGATCCCTCCCTCCTCCCTCCTTACACAGCTGCACGAGCAGATGGGAGTGGGGCTGTGAGTGGGGCTCAGTGGATCTCTCTCCCGGGACGCAGAGTGGGAGACGTACGTGTGATGGAAGAGGGTGACCAGAGCAGGCATGGCTCCGCGGGGAGAGGCCTGGCAGTGGTGTCTCCATCCGGCGGTGTCAGAATAGTAGGGCATGGCAGCTGCCCGGACACTGTCCAGCAGGCCTGTTGCCCAGACCTTCCCTTCTGAAGTCACGGCCGTCCTTAGCCTGCCAATAAAGTCTCTACCTCTGTGAGCTGTTCACAGTTTCTGTTGCCTGGAACTCAGAAATTGGACTGACACTATAATCTAATTTTATTGTTATTATCCATAAAACCTATTATACATCCCAAACCACTATTTTTCTAAAACTCTTTTGTTCTTCATGTAGATGTAAAACTTTATATCACAGGGGTAGAGCCTCAGTAAATAGTGGGTGCTTTTTTTTTTCCAAAGGTACAAAATATAGAACATGAAGTTTATGTTGTATTCCATCATAATATCTTATTAACTTGCAAAATATAATGACTTTCTCTGAAAGTAGTAAAAATCAGTTTCACTTACAAATAGCAAAGGCTGAGACATGAGCTGTCCATGGTCATCACTCTCCTGCATGGGAGGCTCAGAAGGCCCTGGGGTCATTGCTGTGACCCTCTGTATAGGAATCCAGCCAGCAGTGACCCTGTGACATCATGGACCCCCACATACTGGCCCTTGTGGGGCTCTGTGGCTCTCTTTCCAGGATTTAAATCTGGAATTTCCCAGGTTACAGGAGAATTTCTGTTTAGTTTTGGAATTATATAACACTTAGAACAGTAACACGACATTTATCTACTTACCACTTTATGAGATTTAATTCCTTTTTGGAGTTCATGCTTTTTGGCGTGAGGCAATCCTCCGAGGTGAGTGGCTCAGCGTAGAGGGCGCGCAGAGCACATGCTCCTGCCAGAGGGACTTCTGAGCATTCTTTGCTGACTCAGAGGGCCAGGTAGCCTGACACAGGAAGCCCATAGGTTATAAATAGAGCGTGAAAGTCACCAGGGGCTCAGGAAGGGGGTACCACCCGAAGGCAGGACGGCAGCAGAGGGAATGGTTAAAATGAAATGCTTGGTGCTTGCCTTTGGCATAAAAATTCCTGGTTATTACTGGCATCTGTTTAGAGGCCCACACTGGACATTGAGAAATGAAATGTTTTCTTTTTTTTTTAATTTGGGCAAAGCTTATTTATATTTATGTCACCATTTATCTTCCCGACTTTTCCTTTGTGCCTTTTTATACCTCTCAGCTGTCTGTTCTCACAGGAATACCGTGCGCTTTACGATCTTTATTCTCCGTACAGGCATTTATCGTATTTCTTGCCAAGCATTTAAAAAATATTCTTTGGGTTTTTTTTAAAGAACATAAAAAGTGATTATGAATATTGATCATATTTAGATATTCAGTATAAGAAATCATTGATGGTCTTTGGTAAAATAGCGGCAATATAACACCCAAGACTTTTCTCCAGCCTACTCCTGACGGTGTAACTGCCGATGAAAGCCGTAACATAATCAGTGTGCAATTTATCCACATCCAGAAACAAACTGCTATGTGGTCTGTTTCACTGACCCATCAGATCCTTTTGTAACGTCACTTAACAACAAAATTGAGGGTAGCAGGGCACTAAATAAATGTGATGCCTTCTTTCCATACTTATTTTATTTGTCCTATGGAATTTTTAAAATATAACTTGGAATTGACACTAATTGTGTGTTAGATAAAATAATGAAATGTAGATACATTTCATTAAAGGATAATTAATCATTAAAGGATAATTCTAAAGTACACAGCAGGAAACAGAAATTAGATAACACTTTCACAAAGATACATAATATATATATAACGTAATCATATAAAAGCTACAAAGAGCAAGACATCTACCTTGGAAGCTCTTTCACACCGTGCAGGTTCAGGGAATCAGTATTCACCTCTCGTGACTTACACTGGGTGTGTAGGCAATGAGGGCAGTAAATTAATTTAATGGTATGAGTGAAATGGCAGCATTTCCAACAGGAAAAGGTCATATCCAGTGTAGAT